GTTCTTCTTTCTAATTCAGTTGTCTAGTGAGGGGTATGTAAAAAGCCTCTTCCTCAGCAAGTAACTGTAAATAGAAAGCTATCTAACTTCCAAGATAAATTTACTTGCAGCATACAAAAACCCTGTTGCTATTGTTAGGTATGAAAAGTTGTGGTTTATAGCCACACGACATGTGTTTCATACAGTCTATTTTTATACTGATACCCTATATGCTATATATTCTTGTACTATTCTTAAGTATTTGGAAAGGTATGAAAAAGTTTTTCTCCTTAAATTCTCACTTGTACCACCTGTTTCTGAAACCACTTTTGCATTACTTCAGACAATTAAGAGAACATTTTCTAATCAGCAGTTATATTTTAGCAAGATGTTAATTAGGGGGGTGCTACCTAACCAGTAAAGGCAAATCAACAGAGGTAACATGAACAGTGTGTAATGTGCAGGTCTGAACTGATACAGCTGAGTTTCAGACTCTTGAGGCATCTATTTTTAACCACATTAAACAGTAGAAAGCCAGGTAATCACTAAAAATTCCTCTTGGTTTGCAGAAACAATTAAGAAAATGGCTTACAGAAGTAGTATAACCCAGTCTGCTGCTGCTGTGTCCCAGCTGAAACACCAGAAATCCTTCTGACAATGCCCTAACCAAATGCAGGGATAGGCCTGGACCAGAAAAGCAGATTCTTTGGGTTCCGCCCCTGACCAACAGCCATGTCCAAGAGATCAAGAACTCGGCCTAGTTGTTGGCAGATAGACACTGCAGAGCCAACAGTCAGCCAGAAAGCAGATGTGCCTGATGCTGACCCAGAGGAGAGCCCATCTCCTCTTCCACAGGAGTTACACCAAGCACTACTGTACTCTGGTGGGAGAGAACAGGTATTCCCCAGAACAGAGAGGCTTGATTCCAGTCCAGAGATTACAACAGACAACTAGCTTAGCACATGTAAACATTCAAACTGTATCTCAATTAGTAAAAAACACCTCCTTGTCTCTATAAAGTCCTACAATACATATTATGTATTTGTTTCCTTTAAAAGCTCAAATAGCAATACTCACAACATGCTCCAATGCTACAGCTTCTAACAAGTTTTCTTGCAACAGAAATTTGATTTAAACTTAAAGGATGAGAATTTATTCCGTCCTCTGAATACTTGAAATGTCAAGTTGTCCCTTTAGAAGGGACATGTCCCAAGTCTCATCTCATAGTCAAAAGAGTATCCTCCCACTAAGGACAACTACATGCCAAACACAAGCTTTATTCTAGAGGGCTCTGCTTTGCTAGAAACCATGCCCGTGGAGGCTGGCAAATTTTCAAGTATACAGATAAATGCCTTTTAGTTTAAATAATGACACTGACTTTGGAAGTGCTGGGTATCAGTATGGCACACAGAGGCTGCTGAACAGATGCCTTTTTTCAGGCTACTGCCCTTGAAGGAAGAAGACAAACATCATTGCTTATGATAGTTGAACCCACATTTCAATCTTCCAACTGCTGACCAACATAAGCAATTAAAGGCATTAAGACGAGGAACACATGAAGAACACAATTTTTTTTCCCCACAAAGTGGCAAAATTAGAAATTCACACTAGATCACCTCTGAGAGTTCTCTCTCCATATCACTGACTATTACTTTCATTAATTTTGAGAACAGGAATGATCCAAAAGATTAAGAAGGCCTAAGCACCTGTCTCTGAAGATCATGAAAGTAACAGGTTGGACAACCCTTGCCCAATACCTCAGAGGAAAACCAAAGCAAAGCAGAACCACCTATTTATTATTACCTAGACAGAAGCAAGCCAACATGGATGGCCTTTCAGAAGCTTATGTCAGACAAAAATTCCTTCTGAGAAAAATTAAGAGGCCTCATATAGAAAAAAATGCAGAAGATGCAGTCACGTTATAGAATTAGTAGAGCTCTTAATGCCATCTTGCATGAGGTTTTTGTCACTAAGAACACAGCTTATACAAAATGGGTCCACCATTGATGACTACTCTGTACATGTGTCTCTTCACTGGTTCAGTGAAAGAGTGGAAGGATGCATCAAACAGATCTCTCCAGGTGTTTCCACCAAGTGGACACTTTATTCCATTACTTGGGCAGTGGAGTACAGACTATCTGTACACCTGCAGATGATCTGCAAGCACTCTGGACAGCAGGAAAAGAATTCGAGAAGATCTTGCCCAATTGGAACAATGGTCTGAAATAAAAAGGATGCAGTTCAATAAAGATCAGCACGGTGTGTCATGCTCTGGTAGCAATAATCAGCTGCACAAGTACAGAACATGGAATGAGTAGATGACTGTAATTCCACAGAAGAGAATCTAAACAGAAGTTAAAATATTAAAATCTTGTGGAGATGTCAAATTTACAAGACTCTCCTTACACAAGAGGCACATACCCTAACCAAAAATCTTTTTTATTTGGCCTTTCTGAGCCCTTAACTTATCGACTTTATGGCCAGTTTTGGATACTAACTCTCAAGATATATGCCTACCAAAGGCGAGGTAAGACCACCAGAAGAGATGTTATAGTCCCTTTTTTTTTCGTCCTCCCTCAAAAAATCAGAATCATCAAGTAGTAAAATAAAGCTTTTAAAAGAGATGAAAGAGACAGTTACAGGCTACACACAGAAGTATCTGCGAAGGAGAGGAAAACTTGTTGTCATAGCTGTTGGGTATAAGCACAGCACAAACATTACAGAGTTCAACTGCAGCAAAGAAAATTTAAACTACACATCAGAATTGTTTTCCACAGAAACTACAAGGAAAAAGACTTCTTACAGAAGTGGTGGGATTTCCATACTTGTCACTCTAGAAGAGATCAAGCCGTTTTTTGCTCCAGAAGATTTCAGTCAGGCCCTTAAGTCTCCAGATCAGATCCAAGGCCCATCTTTAACAATTCTTTGAAAATTCAGGACATCACTACCAAGAACTTTAAAGTGGAAGTTCTGCCTTTGAATAGGATCAGCTCCTACAGGAACCAAATTTAACTACGAAACAGAAAAGAAAAAAGTAAAGAAAGAGGCTAGTTTCTACTTTGAAATGAAACTGCCTTTTCGTTAAACTATAAACTTCATGTCTTTTTGTGGGAAATGAGAAATGACCATTCTAAAACCAAACTTCAATGGATGTAAAACATCCATTATTCTTGTGGTCCTAGTCTTTGAAGGCCATTAATCATATGGTGGTGCATCAGTGGGACAGGTAATTCAACAGCAAGCTCTGCATAGAAAGCTATAGGAGCCTGACAACATATCTGTAATTAAACTTGCATTCTTCAGCCAGATTTAGAAAAAAAAGATGCTACTGCATTCCTTTGCACATCTACATTAATCCAGAAGCTGTAGAAGTGAACTAAACACTTTGAGAAAGAAGTGACTCAAAACCAGCCT